GCTTTTCAAATGTTCACTCATATTACGTGTCAGCGACTTCAGTGCATCCTCATATTTGCCATTAATATCTCTTTAAGATTGCAAAAGCGTCACAAAGACGACACTGACATTGTCCTTCTGACATTCACATATTTGACCTTCTCTTGGGGTTAAGGTTGTAGCAGCAAAACATATGTAAGCAGTTACAGCAGTATACTTGAAAATTGGTCTCACTCATGCAAGCAGATTCAAACCATTCACCTCTGCATGTAAACATGCTGCATGATGTTCCACTATCTTGTAGCAGTGCTGCCCTCTGCTGGACAAATCACGATAAAACAAAAACACAGCCAGACATTCTCTATGATCCATGGAGAAATAATACATACATGCTGATACTGCTTCTTGCTCACATCATTTTGTTTTAAACACACACACACACACACACACACACACACACATAATCAATCACAGTACAATCACACTCCGATGTAATTAAATGTTGTGTTAATTAAATTCCCTGTGTCCCTGTTGTAACTCTGTGAGGGGAAAAAAGCTAGGTCAAAGGGAGGGGGAAGCGTTAAATGGCTATCAGGACCCGGTGTTTGTGTGTGTGTGTCTGGCTAGTGGTTACCAGGCCATTGGCCTAGTTTTTGGCTGAAGACCAGGAGTGGAAGGTTTACAGTCACGCACCTCACTCATCACGCGCACTTGACTGGCTTTCTATCGCTCTCTTTTATAACCCTTCTCTTTTATAATAGACCTCTCTTGGACTTATTTTTGTCCATTTCTTTTTCTTTTTTTTTAACTTTTTGTGCTCTTCTCTCTCACTGTAACCACTCAGGTCAAGTTAACTGAAGCCTCTGTATCGCTCCCCATCCACCCTCTGCCCGCTACTCTAGCTTTCAAAGATCTTAGCGGAGATCTCGAGCTTTTACACCCTTTCAGGAGCACCTCACACATACTACAGTTACTCCCAAAGGCTCTCCTATTCCCGCTGTACTAATGTCTCACACAAAATATCTCTCTCTCTCTCTCTCTCTCTCTCTCTCTCTCTCTCTCTCTCTCTCTCTCTCTCTCTCTCTCTCTCTCTCTTGTCAGACTCTGTGCACAAATTAATGTTCAGCGAGTGTTGCTTCCTCACAAGGCAATGTCCTTGCCTGGACATTTTTCATCCGCCGTCATATTCAGGTATTCAGGACAAACTTCTGTCAAGTTTTTAGCTGGCTCTCTGAAGTAAGCGGAGGTAACTTCAACGTGTCGCAGAAGAAGAAGAAAAAAACTCAGGGAGGCGGGATTTTGGACCCCTTTTTTTCCCCCCCAGATGTTCATCACTCTGTCGGCTTGTTATTTTGTTTTTCCTCATCAAAAGAGCTTCTTAGATGGATCCTTTTTTTTTTGGTTCATGGTTCTCAATTTTAATGAGGAATCCTTATAAATACTAATGAGCGTATTTTGGTGTAGTTGAAATCTCTTGTTACCTCTTTGTTTTTGTAAGAATGTCAACATTTCACTCTAATGATGCTGCAGATTTTGACGTGTGACCTCCTTTTAAAGCGACTCCACTCACTTGTGTTTGCTTTTACTACATTATCACAGAGTCATCTATTTTATTTTTCAATATTTGTTTTCAGTGCAATCTCGAAAGCCACTTTGGTGAGTCATGATTTAATCATAGCTCATCTGCTAATACTGAGCTCCAAAAAATTCTGCATCACACTTTTATATTCAGATGAACGACTTCAGATGAACGCTGAAAAAAAAGAAAGAAAGAAATCTCTTCCCACTCGTTCTATTTTTAGATCTATGTGCTTTTGGTGTATCGTGAGTACTTTCACCGTATGAACCAACAGATGGATCCTCACCACAGTAGCCTGGATCACACGCCTGTGAGAGCGTTTAAGAGGTTGTTTTTGTCAATGGCTGTGGCTTCTCTGTCAGAGCGCTGCAAAGGCCACCATGAGTTGAGTTGTTATTTGGAGTCTGGAAACAGCTTCTTTCCTCTTATCCATTCAGCATGTGTTGAAAATGCCAAGACAAAGAGTGGGAACAGTGGGTGAAATCTCTCCCTGTGGAACAACATGTTCCTCTGTGAGGCAGCGCTCCCATGTCTGCAGCTAGTCCCTATAAATTATAATACCAAAGGAAGTGGACTGACTTGTCTCCCTTTCAGGGAAACAAAGCAAAACAAAAACACAGTCAGACAGCCAAGGCAGTTGTGGAGCAGACTTGGCCGGCCTCAGTTATCATTGGCTTGTAAACAGAAGCATGAATGAATCTGCGTCTGGGGTCTATTTACATTCGTCATCTCCTCTCCGGGGCTGACTTCTCTGCCCCGCAGATCTTATCCCCCAATGATGCCTTCCTCCTTTATTTTTCTTCTCTGTGGTCAACCGTTCCTCTCCTTCGTTTTAGTCTCTTCCTTTCTTTCTGCTCAGTTTAACTTCATGCGTCTAATTGGCCGACCACTACCCCAAAAAAAACCCCTCAGCTTTCTTTTTAAGAACCTCGCATGCCGTGCAGTGAGAGGAGTTGGGCAGCAGTTGAAGCCAGCCTCAGTGACCTTAAACGACCCCGTGGGTTAGAGATTCAACATCGACATCAAGACAGCACTTCAGGTTTAAACGGGGACATTTTTTCTTTTTACTTAACTCCTCACCTCATCTTACCTTTCCTCTCTTTATCCCACTTCATCTCCCAGACTTCCTTTTTCCAGCCTCCAGCCTGCCTTACGTTCTCTTTCTTAAATGCCTTCATTTAGGTTTTTCTCTGTTTGTCTCTGCCTTCTTGTCTCTTTATTTCTTCACCATCATCCATATCCTCTCTGGCTGGATTTACTGGAGAGGACAGAGAGGCTGTGAAGCTTTAAGGATGTTCTTTCTTGTCGAACTTGTCTGTACTTTTTGGGGCAATCTGTGAGCCTTTTGGACGTCTTTTCCGAGCCATTTCATGTGTTGTGGAAAGTTCATCCATTCGAGGACCTCAGTCAATCATAAATAGAAAACAATAACAAGTTCATAAAATATATTAAAAAGTGACTAAAGGCCATGTCGGACTTTTATGAGTATTAAAGAAAACATTTTATCTCCCAAAAAGTGAAAAAGTGAATCTTCTCAGTGAACAGGAGAGCATAAAAATCAATCAGAACACAGAAACGGGTAGAGGATACTCTGGGAATGCATGGTGAGCTCATAGTGCTTTGGCTACGACAACATTAAAACACAAACTACAGTTAATAATATTTTTTGACAACTTAACTTTGTTTATGAAAGCTTTCCTTTGCGATCTTTTTTAAACAATATCACCAAACCAGACGGGTAGTATAAGAAATGGATGACAAATGTAAAAATAAAAGATACGGTAGATACGATGAAGACCAAAACAAGTTACAGTAACTGTTACTGACACTAATCTATAGCTTTTATTTAAATTTAGCTCAGCTACTCACCGGAGCAGTAAGAGTCCACATAGGTCACTAATGTTTTAGGTCCATGCACTTGGTGTTGTAGTACTCAAAATCGGTCTTTGTCTCAAGACCAGTCTCGAAACCACTTTTTGAAGGTCTCGTCTCGGAATCGAAAGCATTTTTACTTGATGTTGTCTCGGTCTCGGACTGGGCGGCCTGCAGATTTTAAATCAATACGGATAAAGAACACCACTGAAAAGCTTTTTTTGATTTGAAGGAAAATGCCCCTTTTGCAAAAGAACAAGTAACTTAAATTCAATCACAATTAGATTTTTCTCCCCCAGTTTCTACCACAACCTTCCCGGTGTTACAGTCATAATGATTGACATTCCGGCTGCACTCAAGATGTTGATTTGTTTTGTGACATTTATGGTCTTAGTCTTGTTTAGGTCTCTTCCTGCCTTGGTCCAATGTCTGATGTGTCCTTGGGTAAGACACTTGCTCCCTCTGCTTCGTTGCCAGTGTATGAATGTGTAGGAATGGATTAGTTACTTCTGATGGTCACTTTACATAGAAACCTCTGTCATCAGTGAGTGAACGTGTAGGTGTGACCTGCGGTGTAAAAGCACTTTGAGTAGTCAGAAGACTAAAAAAGTGCTTTAAAGTGACTCTTGACAGAACCACCCACCTGTACATCCATTCATGACTCATTCCTTTACACTATTTGTATTCATGATTATTTATAGTACCATTTAATATACAGCTTTTCCCACCATTGAATATAAACAACAGTTTTTCTTAACTGTTTGTTTTTTTCTGTTTGTCGTCCTTGTTTTAGCAGTTTTTTCTCGTTCTGTCCTCATGTAGGTTTCTCTTGAAACAGCTGTACCCATGTTTGTGTCCACATACTTGGGCATTTAATTCCATCCATCCATCCATCTTCTTTACCGCTTTTTTTCCCATTCGGGGTCCCACGGTGCTTGAGCTTGGCATTAAATTGATGAATACAAGGTGTTTTTCAATTATATCTATTATTATATATAAAGTAGGGGAGGATTTATCTGTATATTTTTGCCTATGTCAACAATTCGTATTTGCTTTTAGCCTGTTTTTTCCCACCAAACAGAGCACATGTTTGTAATATAATGAGTATATTTTCATAAGTTGGTCTACTTAAGATCAATTTTCTGTCAAATTCCTGAACAAGGGCCTCACATTTGCCAAAATCCAGGGCTTGAAGAGTAGCACTGAAGCTTTTAGCTCATTTCACAATGAATCAGTTCTACAAATGAACTGATAACCATAGAAATTAGTAGATGCTGTCGCACTAAGTGGAAAGACCTGAATTCCACTTCTTCAAACAATGTCTCTGAAGAGAAACACTTCAGTGTGTGTGTGTGAGGCTGATGTGGAAAGCTGCAATCACTCCTAATGGAGCGTAAATCTGTTTTTTTGGGGTTTTTTTACCTTTACTTGCCCTCTGTAGCTACCTCAGAGTTTGCTGCACAACACTTTAACTGTCTCCAGGTCATTGATCCAGGTCAAACAGATCAGCATTCAAAATATCTCTGCTGTTTTCTAACCTCCAGCATCTTTGTTTTTCTGTCTTCAACAGGTGTTTCCAAACTCAGACAACACAGCAGAGCCAAAGGTGAGTGCTTTTTATTATGTTCTTATATTGTTCAACTTCCTTTTCTCTTCATCTTTGCTGCCTAGTGTAGATTAGTTGTTAACAAAATATATAAAAAAGCACTAATCAGCAATAATCAACATAGGTTTGAAGCCATAGTTAGCCCTCTGTGGCTTTGAATGTGGTGCCGATGAGATATGGTTGTAATTCCAAAGTATGACCACTAGAGGGGGGCAGGGTGTTTCTTTTAAAATAGCCTCTCATCGTTTTGCTCTCAGAGACTCAAGAAGAACTAAAAGCACAGCAAATAAAAATCTTTAAGTAAAAGGTGTAGTGTCAAATTAGATTTAAGCTTTGCACAGGTATGAGTTTCTTGAAATCAAAGCAGTGTTGAATGTTATGTTTGTATGTTCCTGAATGTGTGTGTGTGAACATATTTACCCGTGAATAAATAAGTGTTTACCTTCGTGATGGTAGCAGTGTGGTGTTTTCCAAAGCCCTCTTAACTTTAAGAAGTGATTAGACAGTTACTGTGTTTGATTCTTCTCATTCCGTTAATTCATAACCAAATGAAAACAGAAGTCCCCCCCCCCCCTGCGAGTCCCCTCCTTCTTTTCACACTCCACCCGCTCCTCCCTGACTACTGATAGGGCAGAGATGGAGTCAACAGAGGAGGGAAACGGCAATAGGAGGAGGAGGAGGGAAGGCAGGGAGGGAGGGAGAGAGAGTTCGGATACAAGGCAAAGACTAAAGTAGAAACAAGGAAACGCTGCAGGTGTTTGGTGTGGGGCACTCTCTGTATCATTAGCTTGGCAGCAAGTGGTTCAAGGTTAAGGACAGGTGGACCACGTGCATGCAATTCCACAGTTAGTTCCCAGCAGCTGGCGTTTAGTTTGTGCTGATAGAGAGCTTTGTAGGTGATTTTAAAGCAGTAGAAGTGCTGACCGAGCCATGGCCCTTCTTACCAACGGCGCACAGAACCTGGGCTCCTACTTCTGCCTGATCCGACGCAGGTTCAAGAGGAGGCGCAAGAAACGCTCCGAGCGCAAAGGTAACCCCTCACAGCAGCAGCAGCAGCTCAGACTCAGAGTGATGCTGAGCCGGCTTCTTCTCAGACTTTCTAATGCTGATAATGTTACCTGCCTGTCAGAGAGCAGGGATGTGCACTTGCTGTAGTGAACCTTTTAGTTTGACTAGTCCATCAAGTTGGAAGTTGTAAACAGCATCAACAGACTGTAAAGTCTTTTCTTTTTTTAAATTTGTGCCGACTCTTAGGGTACGATAGTGAAAGAAACTTTAAATATTTCACTTTGCTTGTTGGAAAACTCTGAAGTGTGGTATAAATCTAATTCTGGCAAGTTAAATTGTGAAGTTAAGGTTTTTGTTTTTTAGGTTTACATATAAAAAAGTAAGAATTAATTTGCATTTTAAGCTGTTGTATTCATTTTTTAAGTACATGTCTACCATTTGCACTTACTTTAGAATCATGCAGTAGGTGTGGACGTTATGCTTGATTTTTTTGTAACAAATAGTCCTGGAAGTTTGTGATTTGTCGTATAAATGTTGAATATTTCTCATTTTTGTTAAAATTGCATCATATAAAGAGACATCCTCAAAAAATGATTTGATGTATTGTAAAGATATTAAGCTAATCAACAGACATCTAAACATAACTACAATATTTACAGTTTAAATATCATGTCTAATATATTAAACCATACCTGTACATGTCTGTAGTTCTCAACATATATGTTAAGTAAGGTTACTTTATTTGTACCCATATGTTGATTTTCTTTTCTTTTTTAAGTAAGTGTCAGCCTCCTTTTATACAGACAAACAGCACAGAATAAGACATGATAGACAAAGTGACAGCAGGGCCGAAGATGAAAATAAGCGATCAGTTAAAAGGAGGTAAATAAAACCAAAATAGGAATAATAATAAACCATCGGTAAAGAAAGAACTGTGACAGGTAGACAGCTTTAACAAAGGTCTCAGACCAGAGTCCAGCTGGGTACACTGTTATAGGTGTGTATTCTTATCCTCTGGGATCATGAGACAAAGTTCTTCCAAATATGTGATTCCTCCTGCAAATAATTCTTCTAAGATTGAAAAATCTGAAGCATCACAGATACTGTACTATATAAATACTTAAATACTATATGCACACATACATTTCATTTTCACTTACCGTCTTTTAACCTCGTCTAGGAAGGGTTCTTTTTTTTTTTTTGTTTTCAGATTCAGAATGATTTTTCTATTTAGCATACACATTTAAAAAAGAACACCTCTTATTTGCCCCCCTCCTACCCTCTCCCCCTCGCCCTCTCTGAGCGGGGCAGGTCCGTATCTGGGTGTAATTGAAGTCGGGTGACGGGAGCCCCACAGAGGCTCGAAGCTTTTCTCCCCTGAGTTTGAGTCTCTGCTCTGGGGATTAGCCTAACAGCAAAGGTAGTAATTACTTAGGTGGCCTCAGCTCACTGGCAGTATTAGCCATGTCTCAGCCACTTGCTTTGACACCCACCACCCACTGCCCCCCACCTCCCCCGCTTTCCTCTTCCAGCCGAGTCCATTCATCCAAGTAAATCCAGCAGTGCTGACGCTGCATTTTGAGCCGGGCTCACTCGCAGACTGACTACGTCCATCAGCATTACACAGGTCTGTTTCCGGCCTTTTCACTCTCCCTTATCACCACGGGAATGAAAGTGGCACTTTTTTTTTTTTTTTTTACCATACTGAGAGAAGCGATGACTAAGAGGGACTTTGGGCTGATGTTGCTCTGCTCGCTCTCGCAGTCAGCTTTAATGCCGTGCACTGGAAGCCTCCTGATAAGTTGCTTAGTACTTCAGTGCCCAGTGGGTTAGCAGTGAAGGCTAGCTGTGAGGATGAGGTCACATACTTTAGACAGTCATCAGTGGAATAATGTGACACTGACTCAAGGAAATCTCTTTTCTCTGTGTGTCTGTGTGTGAGGGCAGAGTCAGCAAAACGCCACTGAACTGTGAAGTCCGTTAAGTGTAAATTAGTCCTCCACAAGGACACTTTCACACATCCATACAGGGGTCAGCCAGAGTCAGCTGTTTGAGAACCACTAATCCTTACTGCAGCCTTAAACCTGTTTTTTTATTGAGTTTTTCCTTGAAACTCAGTTTCACAAATATTTCAATGAATATTCCTGAAGGAGCAAAACACATTATTATTTTTCTCAGCATGCCTTCTGTTTAAGATTGAAATATAATTTTAACCAACAACATGCATGAAATATGAGTTTAGTTATTTCTTCCCCAAATTGGGACAATAGGGACCCTTTCCATCAGTGCAGGTGTTTTCCATTATTTGGAGTAATCAGACTAGGTTGGAGATGATTGGAGCTGTGTTGGGAGTTTAAATGTGAACAGACTCAGTAAACTAATGAGAATCATAAGAGCTTCATTTTCACTCCAAAGCAAAGCTCTTCTGGAGTCAAGTTGATGTCAATCAAACAAAGTGTTTACACGCTGAGAGTTCTTTAGAAACACAGAGGTTCAAATCATAAATCTGTGTTGATAACCTATACCACAATGAGCCGACTGCACCGTTGTGCCATGTCTGCAGATGTCCTCTATAATCTTTTCTCAAACCAGGTTGGCTATTCCTTTTAAAATTCAATTAAGGTTTGACAGGACCCCGAGCTCCATGATGTCATTTTCAGGGTGAAATGACTAGATCCTCTATAGTTAATGAAGTCAAGGTTGAAATCATGGGATGATGGAAGTTGTTCTGTGGTATAACACAGAAGTGTAACTCTCTTCAGCCAAGATAAATTCAGATTTTTTGGCATTTTGGAATTTACTGTACATATCAGCTGATGTGTCCCAATTCAGGGGCTGCATCCTTCGAAGGGCGCATTTCAAGACTTGTTGAAGGCTGTCTCATTTTGAAGGCTCATTCTCGGTGGGCCAACAAAAGCGCCCTTTTCCCCCCAAGAGGCCATGAAGGACCCATTCGATGTGGCCCAACATACCCGGAGATTTATTTTTGTGCCAGTTCAAACATCTCGTTTGAGACTCTGAAGAGGTCGAGTAATACACTTTAAAATCTAAGTAATTGGTTTCAGCTTAGTTCCAAAGCTAGCAGTAATAAAAAAAATAAAAAGGAAGCTATACTGAAACTTATAACAATGTTTGTTTTATGATAATAGGTTAAGTTACGGGACTTTGGTTATGTTCGCTAGTTCTGGTGCACCTGCCAGTGTTGCTGTGTGGCAGGGTAAGGGCTAGATCATCAAAGACTGAACCGTCGTGGTCATTCAGTGGGCATTTTTTTTGAGTCCACCTCAGTAGACTGAACATTTTAGTATGGATACTAACTTCCGGGTTTTTTGCAGTATGGATTGGCTGCGTCCTTGGTCTCTTATAGACGGAACGGAAACCATCATTAATGATATTACAGTAGTATCATCTGTGATACTCATTCTCTTAATACGTAAAAACAGCTGCCTTTTGATTGCTGTTGGCTTTCCTTTTTTATGCTGATATTTTGTGTAATTGCTTTTTGATTCACTCCTCACTTGCTGGTTAACTCCTCTTTATAATAATACATGGCTCTATGTGAATGAATGTATTATTATAAGGTTGTATTCCAGTCTGTGATTCAAACTTTTATCTGTGTAAACTGTAGGGCTTAGTATTTATTGATGGCATAACTATGTAGATGAACAGAATGTAGAAGTGAATTTCCATACGGCGCACTGTGACTTTCAAAATGCTCAACTTAAGCATATCTTCCGAGTGATAAGTTCTCCGATGCATCCCTCATAAATGTGCCAACCCATGACACTCGCAGACGAGGCTTTCAATGGGCCGTATATGAAATATGGAAAATGGGGAACAGTGGCCCTTTTCTGCCATGCCAGCAAAATCTCCAAAATGAGCTTTTGTAACTTGAGGGTGGAAAAAGGGGGGGGTGGGGGGGTGGCGAGTCTGCACCGCCATACGTTTACAATCCATCGCCCAGGAAGAGGCTTCGCCTGCAATAAGACTGT